TTGGCTTCTTTAGGATGGGTAGCCCAGGTTGACTTTGGTGGCACAGACCATCAACATGAATTTGGTAGCACCACTGGACCTGGTAACATGAGCTTTAAAATGAAGTTTGTTTGTCAGTTTGTTATGTAGTTAATCTCCCCTTCATTTGGCTGCAGAGATGGCTCAGCAGTGAAGAGCACTGGTTGCTCTTCCAGAGGACCTGGGTTCCATTCCCAGCAACCACATGACAGCCACAATCATCTGTAACTCCAGGCCCAGGGAACCTTTCTTCTGGCCTCTCTCTGTGGGCACTGCATACAAGCGGTGCTCAGACATACATGCAGACAAAACACCCCCCTCCCAGACACACAAAATAAAACAAACTCAGGAGACGGAGGCCAGAGGATAGAGATGCCAAGACCTTCATCACCTACAGTGTGAGTTCGAGGCCAGCTTTAATTCAGCAACTTCTTGAGACAGTGTTTGAAAATAACAAAGGAAAAGAGGGCTGAGGGTGTAGCTCAGTCGTGGGGCACTTGGCCTCACCATGAGCACAGTCCCTGTGTTCAAGCCACAGAAAACCAAAACACACACATCCACAATAACTAATAAGCAAATCAGTAACAATGCCGATACACCAAGAGCGCAGCTTTGCAGTCTTATGCTCTGAATATCTTGGAAGAAAGCTCCCTACTCCTGAGCAGCAAATCCCTGCACACTGTGTGGACCAGTTGGTTCCTGAGGCAGTAGATGAAAGGGTTCAGCAGGGGTGACACTGTCGTGTTGAAGAAAGCTATTCCTTTGTTGAGGTCCAGCCTCCCTGTCTGGGTGGGGTTCAGGTACATGATGATGCAGCTCCCATAGCTCATCGACACCACCAGGATGTGGGAAGAACAGGTGGAGAAGGCCTTGCTGCGACCCCCAGCTGCAGGCAGGCGCAGGATGGTGCTGATGATGCAGCCATAAGACAAGGCTGTGATCAATGTAGCAATGAGCAGGGTGCACACAGCCACCAGGAAGGCCACCAGCTGCAGAAGCCTGGTGTCTGCACACACCAGCTCCAGCAAAGGGGAGCTGTCGCAGAAGAAGTGATTGAGGACTCGCGGGCCACAGAAAGGGAGAGATAACATCCAGGCAAAGAGCCCAGGCAGGGCCAGGAGGGTGACTGCCCAGCAGGCCAGCACCAAGGAAGAGCAGACGCGGGGTGTCATGAGGGCGGGGTATCGCAGGGGCCTGCAGATGGCCAGAAAGCGGTCGGTGGACATCACGGCCAGCAGCAGGGCCTCCACCGCGCCCAGGGTAAAGTAGAGAATCATCTGTGCAAAGCAGCGGTGGCGGGAGATGGCCCCGCGCGCCGCCAACAAGTGTGCCAGCAACTGAGGAGACACAGTGGACGTGAAACCCACCTCCAGCAGCGAGAAGTGGCGTAGGAAGAAGTACATCGGGGTGTGCAGGCGGCGGTCTGCCAAGGTGAGGGCGACGATGAGCAGATTGCCCAGCAAGGTCAGCGTGTAGGTGACCAGAAGGACCCCGAAGAGGAGGAGCTGGAGCCCGCGCTTGTCGGTGACCCCCAGAAGCACGAACTCCAGCACTGAGGAGCGGTTGGCAGTGGGGATAGGCACAGAGACCTCCATCTGTGAGAGCTGTGGGGAGTCTGTGTGGGTCTTAGTGACCTCGGAAATGCAGGGGCAGTCAGTGTCTGTCACAAAGAATACTGGAGATAAAAATATATGGCGTTTAGGACGGGCAGCATTTGTCATTCGTGGAAACCGCACGGATGTGAACCCACTTGCATTAAATGATAATGATGGGAATGTACTAGATTAGTGTAATGACACAGCCCTTTATGCCTAGTACTTGGGAGGCTGATGGAGAAGGACCAGGAATTCAAGAGCATCTTCAGCCACACAGGAAGTTGCAGGACAACCTGGGCTACATGAGACCCCATTTCAAAAATCCCAAAGAAGAAGGAGAAGAAAGCAAGAGGAGACTGAGGAGGACAAAGAGGGGGAGGAGGAAATATTGGAAGAGAAAATAAGAAGGAGGAGGAAGAGGAAAGAGAGGACGAGAAAGAGGAATTTTGGTTCCTGATTCCCCAAGTCCTTTGTTAGGGACTGAGAGGAAACTTTGACGATTCTTTTCACTAAATTTGACAATCCACTTGGGGTGAGACCTGTTCTTTGCAGGGATTGTCTTATGTATGGACTGAATGACTGTGGTTTGGGATTGGTCAGTTATTACAGGGAATTTGGTTTTTATACACTGTCGTGTTGTTTGTCTATGTGTTGGAAGATAAAATCAGCTTTTATAAGGGCATCTGTCTCACTGTGTAGACAAGGCTGGCCTCGAACTCACAGAGATACACATGCCTCTGCCTCCCCAGGGGCTGGGATTAGAGGCGCTGGCCTCTGTCTCTGGTTTAGAGCATATGTCCTTTAAATGCCACTTGCTGAGTCTTCTCAAATGTAGCCAGGACACAGAGCAAGAAACAGAAGACAGCCTGGGCAGGTGGATCACCTGCCGTCTCAGGTGGGGAGGCTGAAGTGAAGACTGATATAAACACAGGATCAGCTTGTGTTATAGATTGAGTTCAAACTGATCTGGGTTACAGAGTGAGACTCTGTCTTGAAAGAGAGAAAGGGATGCGGAGAAAGGATGAACAAAGAGAGGGAGATAGCGAGGAAGGACAAGGAAAAGTAAGAAGGGATATAGAGAGGTGGCTTAAAGGATAGAGATGCTTGCTACAGCACCATACAACCTGAGTTCAAGTTTTAGGTCCCCCATGTGAAACAAGAGACAAACTGTATTTTGACCTCTACATGGTCCCTTCAGTAAATAAGTAAGTGAATAAATGTAGTTTTTAAAACGAGGGAGAGATAGGCTGGAGAGCCAGCTCAGCAGTCAAGAGCTATTATGGCTGTTGCAGAAGACCCATGTTAGAGTCCAGCATCCACCAGTAAGACTAGCTCCAGGAGATCCGACACACTATTCTGGACTTGTTGGCACCTGCACTTACATGTACCCCTCCACCTGCACTCACATGCATGAACCCCCCACAAATGCAAATACACGTACTTAGTAATAAAAAAATAATTAGTTTTAAAAATCAAGGGAGGAAAGAAGAAAGAAAACTGGAAGGAAGGATGGATGGAAGGAAGGAAATAACACCCACAAACTGCTGCTCTGGGAAGACTGGAAGACAATACCACCTTCTGTAAGAGAATCACCCTAGAAAGAACGAGAGATCTGCCTAGAGATGAGTTGATTGACAGTTAGAGAATACCTACTATTCCTCGCAATCTGTGGACTGGATTGCTCCACAGAACATGACCATCAAAGTCCTTCTTTGTGTTCATATGTCTAGTTCATCCAGATCAGATGTGCTGACCAAGATATAGCACAGTGCTTGAGTAAAAGCCACATCTGTACTTCCATTTCTTCCTGGGGCCAGAGTCTCATGTAGTCCAGGTTGGCCTGAAACTCCCTATGCAGCAAAGGATAACCCTGAGCTTCCGATCTTGCTGGCTCTCCCTCCCAAGTGCTGGGCTAGCAGCCCAGTGCCATTGTGTCACATGTTATATGGTGTTGGGAACAGAACCTGAGTCATCCTGCATGCTAGGCAAGTATTCTCCCAACCTAGCTTCATCCTCAGCTGTTGAGCCAAGTTTTGAATGTACATCTTGCCACAGCTCCTCAGCAAATGGTAATTAAGTGAACAGATAAGTAGTGAGTGCTCTGAAGAGAATGAATGAAAATATGAAGAAAGGAATAACTATGAGAAGATGGGTCGTTAGATGTGTTGATGAATGAGAGAGAAAGGGAAAGAGAGCTGCAGACTGAACTGCAGAACTGAGGGATGACTCTGCCAGGCTCAGACACCTTGAATGGCTCAGGATCCTAGGTATGACTCACTCCCATCCCGTCACAACAAGAGCGCTGTGGGGCCTTATGAACTTCAGTGTTCTTCTTGGTCCATTACAGAGACATTTCCCAAACCCACACACAGCATGTGGCTGGGAGGAAACTCCCTGTTTGAGCCTCAATCTCTGTCCCCTCTCAGGTGACACTAACACCTCCTTGGTCTTTCCCATCCCTGTGTTGTGACATCCTAACAAAACCGTGAATATGAAGTAACATGTTATAATGTGTGCTGCAAAAAGCGAAGCTAATTCCAAGCTCACACTCCCCCTGAAGCGGTGTGCTTGGCTTCCACAGGCTCTGTCCTGCTAAAGATTCACCACTCAAACCTTAGTTTTCCAAGAGGCTGTGCCTAAAGGTATCCAGGCTGCCTTCCTCACCTCTCTTGGGCTCATGGCAGGAAAACCATCCAAAAGTGGTCTGACCATTCACCTTCCTCTAATAACCCTTTTCCAGCTACATTAGAAAGCCTAAAATGGGCCGGGTGTGGGAGGTAGAGGCAGGTGGAGCTCTGTGAGTTCGGGGCCAGCCTGGTCTAGCTAGAGCAAGTTCCAGAACAGCCAGGGATTTACACAGAGAAACCCCCCAAAATCTCAGCCCGCCCCCGCCCCCCCAAAGAACCCCTGCACAGATCTCTCTTCTGCATCTTTGTTTATTTTCTGCTGCTTTGTGGCCCCCAACTTTCTAGCAAATGACTGGAAATCACAAATCAGGAGAGAGCTGGCATGGTGGCACAAGCCTATAACCTCAACACGCGGGCAGTTGAGGCAGGAGCATTATGAGTTGGAGGCATGCCTGCACTACACAGCAAGACTCCCCTCTGAAGAAAAGATTTTTTTTTTTTACCTGAAATTTATTAGCCTCCTCTATCATGAATGGTCAAGGTTCTGGAGTTTTTCCGCAGAGGCATATGGCAGGAAATGGGTTTAAGAGAGAGTCTCTCCAGAGAAACGGAGACAGACACATAAGGACGGCCAGGCAGACTCTGTAAAGGAAAAGCATGACAAGGACTAGAGACTGGGAAGAGAGGCGGCTGGGGAGAAATGAGTGGTCAGAGAGCTGGAGGGAGGGGGAGACACGGACTGTAAAAGATAGAGCGACAGAGAAGAAACAGAGACGCGGAGGAAGGCAAACCGAGAGAGACAAAAGAAAGCCTCTGAGGTCCTTGAGAGACACGGAATGTCCTGGACTCTAGAGATACTATTATTTCAGGGTCCAGGTCACACTCTAGTGTGAAGGGGAGGGACTTTTCCTTCAATTCCCTAATTCCTCTGGCCTTGGGGACAAAGAGCATTTACAAAATTGTAGTCATCCTTAGGGGACTGATTAACTCAACTTCCTTCAAGCATTGCTCATGGGGACTTGTTTGGATGTTTGCATTTTGGAGAGAGTTGTTCCCTGCCGCCGCACCCCCCCCACACACACACTTATTTGATTTCTGCAAGATTGGTATAACCACTGGTTCCATTCGGAAAAGAGACAGAGCAAGGGTAAGACCTTAAAAGGGTGGGTACCAGGGAACGTGTGTGTCACCAGAGTTCATTCAATAGGTGTATGTGATAAAGATTAGCCTTGGCTGGGTGTGGTAGCCCTAGCCTTTAGCTCTAGCACTCTGGAGGCAGAGGCAGGCAGATCTCTGAGTTTGAGGCCAGCCTGGTCTACAGAGTAAGTTCCAAGACAGCCAAGGCTACAAGAGAAAACCTTGTCTTGAAAAAACCAATAAATTGGGCTGGAGAGATGGCTCAGAGGTTAAGAGCAGTGACTGCTCCTCCAGAGGTACTGAGTTCAATTCCCAGCAACCACATGGTGGCTCACCACCATCTAAAATGAGATCTGATGCCCTCGTCTGGTGTGCAGACAGAACACTGTATAAGTAATAAATAATGAATCTTTTTTTAAAAAAAGAAAAGAAAAAAACCAATGAATTTTCAGTCAATCAATCAATAAGAATGAGGGTTAGGCTGGGCAGCGGCGGCGCACACCTTTAATCCCAGCACTTGGGAGGCAGAGCCAGGCGGATCTCTGTGAGTTCGGGGTCAGCCTGGTCTACAGACAGGCACCAAAACTACACGGAGAAACCCTGTCTCAATAAGACAAAAAACAAAAGAATGAGGGTTAGGCAAAGAAAAGTAATGATAGGAGGAGCAAATGAGGCTGAGCGTTTGTGTTATAAGAGGGAGAGAAAGCTTGTGGCGGGAGTGGTGGTGGGTAGCGCCTGAGGGAAAGGGACGAGCGGGAGAAGGGAAAAGTGCGCGTGCGCAGAACTGACTCTCAAAGACAGCCATTGCTGCTGAAAGGGCCTCTTGTGGGAATGCAGGAAATACGAGAATATGGAAAACTATTATCAATCAAATGGAGGTTGTAGCTTCGGGACAGAACAGAGTAACTCTCAGGGCAGGAAGGAAGACCAGGATGCAGGAATAAGCACATCTGGATACTGTGTATAGAAGATCAAGCATTTATTTATCTATTTATTTTTGAGACAGAGCATTTTTATGTAGTCCTGGTTATCCTGGAGCTGAAAATGTAGGCCAGGCTGGCCTCAAACTCACTGAGATCCTCCTGCCTCTGCCTCCTGAGTGCTGGCATTAAAGGCCCACAGCACTACACCTGGTCTTCAAGCACTTTTTTTGTTTGTTTGTTTTGTTTCAAGATAGAGTTTCTCTGTGTATACCTGACTGTCCTGGAACTCACTCTGTAGACCAGGCTAGCCTCTAACTCACTGAGATTCGCCTTCCTCTGCCTCCTGAGTGCTGGGATTAAAGGCATGCGCCACCACATCCAGTCTTCAAATACTTTTTAAACAGAGTGTTCCATTTGAAAATGGAAAGCAAGCTATATTTGAGCAGGTATGAGCTTTCAACTAGTTTTCGTTGTTGCTTTAAGGTGGGATCTCTCTGGCCTGGAACTCTCTATGTAGAACTGGCATTAATCTTTCTGCACCCTGGGATTATAGTCCTGTACTGATACACCCTGCTTATTATTATTATTATTATTATTTTTACTTTTTTTTTCTTAACA